CCCCCCCGCGCTACCCGGCTACCCGCGCTGCCCCCGCTATCCCCCCGCTACCCATGCTACCCATGCTACCTGTGCTACCCATGCTACCTGTGCTACCCGTGCTACCTTGTAAAAATGCTGCCAGGGCCAATGTAGTTGCGCTTTGGTGAGGTGGGTAGCATGGGTGCATGGCCTCTCCCCCAGGTCTGCATCAAAATGTGAAGCTGCCAAGCTTGTCCTTTTCTATCCAGCCTGTTTCCAGCGCTGGCTGGATGATGCATCCTGTCCTTGGCAGCGACAACAAATCTGCAAGAAAGCCCACGTGGGGGCAAAAAGCACGATGGGCTTGCCCAACTTTTCACTCGCACGATGTAGAAAACTCTCTCCTGAACAGGCCGACTGCCCAAACTACTGCTTCACTGTGGGGCATCTGCCTTTGATCACCTGCTCAAACTCCTTGTAAGTCTCTGCGGGCACGCGCTTCTTCATGATGGCGGCCACGCCCTCATCGCAAACCAATTCCTTCATCACCTCCCCGGTGAGCGGCGAGGCCCATGAGGCCTGGAGCCCATCATCCTTTTTGGTCTCGATCTTGGCGCCGCCCACTTGAGCAAGCTCCAGCGTGGCCTTGTCGAAGGCTTTCACTGGCGGCCCAAAGGCCATCTTTGCAGCGGCCAACATGGCCTCACCGGTCTTGGTGGCCTTCTCCTCCTTCTTCATCCCTGTTTCTGTTAGCTCCAGACTGTACTCGAGCTGCTCCTTGTGCCACTTCTTCACGCCCTCGATGCCCAGGGCTCGATTTTCATCCAAGCGGCGCAAGAGCTCGAAGGAGCCGCCCAAGGAGCGGACAATTTGGGCCACGCCCTCCTCGCCAAAGTCCGCTTCGAAGCGCTCCTTGACGTGTGGCTGCATCTCCTCGGAGGTAGGCGCTGGAGAGTACCTCATGTCCGTGCGCTCGGTCACGTGCGTCATCAGCTTGAAGTACTGGGCCACACCGTACTCGCTGGCGACCAGGACCACATTGCCCCACAGAGAAAGGGCACAAAAGCGGTTCAGGATGCCGCTGTGCTGCATCACCTTGTTCGCGAGAATCTGCGTCTCATCCACCACCAAAACCAGTTCCTGCGGGTGTGCCTTGAAGGCTCCACGCAGGCCCTTCCACACCGCATCGGGCTGCGGCTGTGGGAAAAACAACCACTTCATGTGCTGAAACCAGCTGTGGAAGGTGGCTGTCTGGTTTGAGATCAGGCTGCCCACCACGAACTCCTCGATCTTCTCCTTGTCGTTCTCCTCGCCCGTGTAGTCGCCGAGGCCGATGAAGAAGCCCACCTTGCCTTGATCGTGGCATTCCTTCAGCACGGCACTGGTCTTGCCAGAGGTCTGCAATCCGCTGATCAGTGTCATCAGCTCGAAGTTCTTGCGCTCTTTCAAAGCCTGCCAGACGATCTGTGTCATGCTCTTGTTGACCACCCAGGGCTTGGCATACGTCGGTTCCTCAAAGCGCCCAGCGGAAATGCTCCACAGGTACCATCGGGCATACCCCTCTGGGTTCCAGGAGTTGTAGAAACGTGCGGTCGTGACACCAGTGCCCACAAGAGCCAGGGGAAGCGTTGCCACCTTGTAGATGCTGGCAACCTGCTGCAGCCGCGCCCACCATGAGCTTTGAAACATGGCAGCTGACGGAAGCTTTTGGGGACTTTTTGCGGTGCTTCGCGCTATGATCAAAAAACATATCCAAAATTCGTTTTGCTTGAGGTTGAAAGGAAACTTGTCTATTGGACGAACGTCGCTGTGTGTGAGCCAACCCTTTCACACAATGCACACAATGCACAGCCAACGCATCCTATCTGAGCGCATCTTGGACACCGGTCATGCAAACAAGCCTCCCATCCTCAGGCAGCGGCTCCATCTGTTGGCGCATCTGCATCGCCTGGCAACGCGAGAACGGGGAAACGCAAGGCCAACAAGGAAGCAAGGCCAACTACAAGCTCCAACTCCAATAAGAACTCTTGTATCAAGACATGTCGGGCCTGATTCCGCTGGCCTGCTTCTCATCCACACTTTCCTCGTCATCTGAGAGTGCTGCACCTGCTGGCGCCTGGACGCATCACCAGCTACCCGCAAAAAATGAGCTCCAAAAATTGCAGCTACACAAGCCCTGGATGAGTTTATGTTCAGATAGCACGGCCCTTTCCCGCTCATCCCCAAAACAGAAACGGCCAGCAAGCTTGAAGGCGCATTCTCAGGTGCAGGTGGAGGCACCTGTCTGGACTGGGTCGTGAATCTCCATGGCCTGCAGCGCTTTCGAGCAAGGCGCTTTCACGCAGAAACTCACCACGGTCATCAAATGCCTCACCAGCACCAGCGGAAGGCCCAGGTCGAAGACGAAAGATAGCCGTGTGCATAAAGTAGAGACCTTGCTGAAGCATGCTTGAAAGACATCAAGGCAAAAAAACAAAGTAATAGACATCCAGTCAAGCAAGCACTCTGCGGGGCCATGCCACCCATGCTACCCATGCTACCCATGCTACAAATGCTACCCATGCTACCCAGCACAAAAATGCAACCACACTCGCCCTGGATGCGTTTCTGTTCGGGGTAGCACGGGTAGCACGGGTAGCATGGGTAGCATGGGCAGCATGGGTAGCGTGGGTAGCACGGGTAGCATGGGTAGCATGGGCAGCATGGGTAGCGTGGGTAGCAGGGGTAGCAAGGGTAGCATGGGCAGCATGGGTAGCAGGGGTAGCAAGGGTAGCACGGGGTCACCCGGCCTTGCGTGCACTTCCCAAAAAACAGCAAAATTGCCCTGTGGCCTGCTCGCGCACACACACACACACATGCTGGCTCAAAGTTGCAAGCGGTTTGCAAGCTTCAAGAACATGCTGGTTCACAAGTAAAAATATCCAAGGCTGTTGGATGTACAAGAGCAAGAGAGCCAGCAACATCGCAACGGGTTTGCAAGCGTCAAGGACATGTTGGTTCAGCATGTGGCGCAGCACATGCACAACCATGCCCTGGAGGTCCTTGTCCGCCAAACTCTGCAGCTCCAAGACCAGCTCCGCTCGGACCATTTTGGACACTGTTTTGTTGGCGGGAACAGCGCTCTCCTCATCCGAAGAAAATGAACCATCCAAAGATGCTGAGGACTCCACCTTCTCGCTTGGCCTGGGGCTCATCAGCCTAGCGCCTCAGGAAGCTGCGACCGCGCAACAAAGGTCCTGGCAACCAACCAGAATTGGCCCCCCTTCCAAAATGGCCCCGGCTACCCGTGCTACCCGTGCTACCATTGCGGCGAGCCTCCCAAAATGGCCCCTGCTACCCGTGCTACCCACGCTACCCCTGCTACCCATGCTACCCGTGCTACCCGTGCCACCCGTGCTACCCGTGCTACCCGTGCTGCCTGAGATATTGCGGCGAGCCTCCCAAAATGGCCCGTGCTACCCGTGCTACCCGTGCTACCCGAGGGATTGCGGCGAGCCTCCAAAATGGCTCGTGCTACCCGTGCTACCCTTGCTACCCGTGCTACCCGTGCTACCCGCGCTACCCGAGGGATTGCGGCGGGCCTCCAAATGGCCCCATGCTACCCATGCTACCCATGCTACCCATGCTACCCATGCTCCAGCTCAGAAATGCAACGAGGCATGCCTTGGCCGTGGTTTAAGGCTGGGTAGCATGGGTAGCATGGGTAGCAAGGGGATTTTGGAGGGTAAACTGCAGCAAGAGACAGGCCTGGTCCTCGTTGCTTGCCTTTGGCCTGGCACCAGGACACACTCAAGTTCCCTCTCCAAAAAGGCGCATGAATAAAGAATGCATGACATGCATTGACACCAAAAGCACATGAGGCAACAGACAGGCCTCGTCCTCCCTGCCTTTGGACTCATCTGCATGGCTTTCAATCGCCTTCGAGTCCCTCTCCAAAAAAAAATGCATAGCACGCTCTGACAGGCCTTCTCGTCTTCAGGCTCATCCGCCTGGTTCATGCTCGCCTGGCACCATGCTACATCCACGGAGTGACGCACAACAAAGCCGGGGTAGCATGGGTAGCATGGGTAGCGAGGTTCTGTTGGGGTGATGAAGAAGAAAAAAAACAGCAACACACGGGCCTCGCTGTCTTCCCCATCGGATTCATCTGCATGCCCTTCGATCGCCTGGCGCTATGTGACCCACTCAAGCTCTCTCCCCAAAAGCATGAGCAACAAATGGATACGCACTGACAAGCCTGAGTCCTCTCCCCTTCCGGCATGTCAGCATCGTTTGTGTTTGCCTGACTCTCCATGACTTCTGAAAAACACTGTATTCAAGCAGGAAGACTGCGGGCCTCGCTCCCTCCTTCGTCATGAGGGTTGGCATTGTCCACCGGCATCGGCTGCACAGGATCCTTGATTTCCACAGCCTCCGGGAATGCAACTGATCTTGACTATCAAAAAAAATGTAACAGCAGGCCTCCTTCCTCTTGACTTCGGGCTCGTTCGTTGGCACGAGCCGTACTGCAGGCCTCCTTCCTATCAACTTCGGGCTCGTTCGTTGGCACAAGCCGTACCGGTTCTGGGATTCCAATGGCCTGGCGGGAACGCAACGTGATCTTGACTGTCAAAAAACTGTAACAGCAGGCCTCCTCCCTCTCGACTTCGGGCTCGTTCGTCGGCACAAGCTGCACCGGTTCTGTGATTTCCATGGCCTGGCGGGAATGCAACAGGACCAGAGATCAATTTCCTGAACTAATCAATCTTGCTTGAAAGGGAAAGGATCCGCCTCCAGAGAAGGCGCAATAGTCGGGTCCACTCCGCGGCAGGTCTCTAGTCGCCAAAATGGCACTGCAACGGCAAGTCAATCACGCACATGAATCTCAAGATGACTCTCCGCCCGGAAAAAATGCACTGCTCAAAAAAACGTTTTCCTGCCTCGGCCCCAAAAAACCCCATGCTACCCATGCTACCCATGCTACCCATGCTACCCGTGCTACCCAGCTCGTAAGTGCAGCGAGCCCTCACCTGGCCAACCCTGCACTGCTCAAAAAAACGTTTTCCTGTCTCGGCCCCAAGAACCCCCATGCTCCCATGCTACCCCTGCTACTCATGCCTCTGCTGGCTGTTTTGTGAGCTGGGTAGCATGGGTAGCATGGGCAGCATGGGGGTTTGGGGGCCGAGACAAGCTAACCATGATACCCGACTCACTGAGCATGGGTAGCATGGGTTTTCCAGTAGTCACGGCTGACAAGCAAAAAAACATCGGCGTGGTGAAAGAGGGGTGCAAGAGGGTGCAATCACAAATCAAGCCAATTCCATGCAAAATCGAACAAACAAGAGGGGGTGCAAACGGGGTGCAATCACAAATCAAGCCAAAAACATGCAAAATCGAACAAAAAAGAGGGGGTGCAAAAGGGGTGCAAAAAGGGTCGGGTTGGGCGAACCAGTATCAAACCAGCGGGCTGGCGTGGGCAAACCGTGCAAAACCGTGCAACACGAGCTATTAGCCTAGGGTCTATAGTTATGTAGGGCCTAGGCTAATAGCATTTTGTAGCTCAAAACCGTGAAAAACCGTGCAAAAGAAGGGGGACTCTGCCCGGAGTTTTTTTTCCTGTCAGGCTGCCGTGCGTGTTGGCAACGAAGCGCGACTCCGGGGGGTCTGGCGCGGGGGGGCGGGATTTTTTTTCGGCAGTGCCGAGCGGGCACTTTAGGTAGGACGTGCCGAGCAGGCACAGTGCCGAGCAGGCACCGTAGGAGTGCCGAGCAGGCACAGCGCCGAGCAGGCACAGCGCCGAGCAGGCACAGCGCCGAGCAGGCACAGCGCCGAGCAGGCACTGTAGGGTAGGCAGTGCCGAGCGGGCACAGCGCCGAGCAGGCACAGCGCCGAGCAGGCACGTAGGATACTGGTTCGCCCAACTCCGTTTCGATACTGGTTCGCCCAACCCGTTGGTTTCCCGAGGACCCCAAACCCGGACCCAAACACGACTCAAACAATCACGGAACAGAAGTAGTCAATCAAGGGTGGCCCGGCCTGAGGGGAGGCGCCAGGACGTTGTTCGATGGTGAGGGAGACGGAGCTCGGAGTTTTTTTGGGCCCTTATAGGAACCTATAGGAACCTATAGGAATCTTATAGGAAACTCATAGGAAACCTGTAGGAAGCCCTCTTCATCTTTTTCTATGGGCTTCCTATGGACTTCCCATGAGTTTCCTATAAGATTCCTATAGGTTCCTATAGGTTCCTATAAGGGCCCAAAAAAACTCCGAGCTCCCGACACCCTTCGTCTGGTTGGGTCATGACCCGTTGGGCAGAACCCCCCGTACCCGTTGGGCGAACCAGTACTTTAAAAAAACGAAACCCCCCAGGCACGTTGGGCAGACCAGTACTCGAAAAAAAAATCCGAAACCCCTCCAGACCTGTTGGGCAGACCAGTACTTGAAAAAAACGAAACCCATCCAGACCCGTTGGGCAGACCAGTACTAAGCCAAAAATGCCGCGCCCTTTGGGCAGACCAGTACTTGAAAAAACGAACCCCCTTCGGGCCCGTTGGGCGAACCAGTACTTGAAAAAACCCGACCCCTATCCCCCAGACCCGTGGGCGAAAGGGTACTTTAAAAAAACCGAAACCCCTCCAGACCCGTTGGGCGAACCAGTACTTTAAAAAAACGAAACCCCCCAGGCACGTTGGGCAGACCAGTACTCGAAAAAAAAATCCGAAACCCCTCCAGACCTGTTGGGCAGACCAGTACTTGAAAAAAAACGAAACCCTTCCAGACCCGTTGGGCAGACCAGTACTAAGCCAAAAATGCCGCGCCCTTTGAGCAGACCAGTACTTGAAAAAACGAACCCCCTTCGGGCCCGTTGGGCGAACCAGTACTTGAAAACGAATCCGAAACCCCTCCAGACCCGTTGGGCGAACCAGTACTTGAAAACGAATCCGAAACCCCCAGACCCGTTGGGCGAACCAGTACTAAGCCAAACCCCCCCGGTCCCGTTGGGCAGACCAGTACTTTAAAAAAACGACCCTCCCCCCAAACCCGTTGGGCGGACCAATACTAAGCCAAAAACCCCGGGCCTGCTGGGCGAGCCAGTACTTGAAAAACCTGAACCCATAATCAAGCAGAAAAACTAGCGAAAAGTCAACCGGCTGAAGGGTGCAATCAGGGTGCAATTAGGGTGCAATTAGGGTGCAATCAGGGTGCAAAAGGGTGCAACCCCAAAATCGTGCAAAAACACACACAAACAGGCTAAAAAAGGGTGAGTGCCAGAGGACGCACTCCCAAACGAAGCAAAAAACACCCGCAAAATCAAGCAAAAAGGCCAACCGGCTGAAGGGTGCAATCAGGGTGCAATTAGGGTGCAATTAGGGTGCAATCAGGGTGCAAAAGGGTGCAACCCCAAATCGTGCAAAAACACGCAAAAACAGGCTAAAAAAGGGTGAGTGCCAGAGGACGCACTCCCAAACGAAGCAAAAAAACACCCGCAAAATCAAGCTAAAAAGGCGAACCGGCTGAAGGGTGCAATCAGGGTGCAATTAGGGTGCAATTAGGGCGCAAAAGGGTGCAACCCAAAAAGCCTGCAAAAACACACAAAAAACAGGCCAGAAGCGTGGGTGCCAGAGGACACGCTCCCAAAACAAGCAAAAAAACAATCAAAAAACAAGCGAAAAGTCAACTGGCTGAAGGGTGCAATCAGGGTGCAATCAGGGTGCAATCAGGGTGCAATCAGGGTGCAAAAGGGTGCAACCCCCAAAATCGTGCAAAAACACACAAAAACAGGCTTAAAAAGGGGTGAGTGCCAGAGGGACGCACCCAATCGAAGCAAAAAAAACCCGCAAAATCAAGCAAAAAGCCAACCGGCTGAAGGGTGCAATCAGTGTGGCAATTAGGGTGCAAATGTGAGGGCAATCAGGAGCAGATTAGGGTGCAAAAGGGTGCAACCCCAAAATCGTGCAAAAACACACACAAACAGGCTAAAAAAGGGTGAGTGCCAGAGGACGCACTCCCAAACGAAGCAAAAAACACCCGCAAAATCAAGCATAAAGCCAACCGGCTGAAGGGCGCAATCAGGGTGCAATTAGGGTGCAAATAGGGCGCAAGCAGGGTGCAAAAGGGTGCAACCCAAAAAAGCCTGCAAAAACACACAAAATAAATCAAGAAGGTGAAAAAAAGGGTGCAACCAAATCGTTGGGGGGGGGCCCCCCAAAGAAACACATGCAAAATCGGGCGCAGTTGGGCGAGCCAGTATCAAAACGGAGTTGGGCGAACCAGTATCAAAAACGGGTGGGCGAACCAGTATCAAACCCCAGCGGGTTGGGCGGGCCAGTATCAAACCTGATCGGGTCGGGCGGCGGGCCCCTTATAGGAACCTATAGGAACCTATAGGAATCTTATAGGAAACTCAGAGGAAACCCATAGGAAACTCATAGGAAACCGTAGGAAGCCCTCTTCTTCTTTTCCTATGGCCTTCCTATGGAATTCCTATGAGTTTCCTATAAGATTCCTATAGGTTCCTATAGGTTCCTATAGGTTCCTATACGGGCCCAAAAAAAACTCCGAGCTCCGACCCCCTTCATCTGACTGACCCGTTGGGCAGACCAGTACTAAGCCAAACTCGGGGCCAGACGATGACTCACATGAGCGGTCTACTAAGGGTCGTTGGGCGAACCAGTACTAATCCTACGTGCCCGCTCGGCACTGTGCCTGCTCGGCACTCCTACAAGTGCCTGCTCGGCACGTCCTACAGTGCCTGCTCGGCACTCCTAAAAGTCCGCTCGGCACTGTGCCTGCTCGGCACTCCTAAGTGCCTGCTCGGCACATCTACCTACAAGTGCCCGCTCGGCACTGCCCAAAAAAACCCGCCCCCCAGCGCCAGACCCCCCGCAGGTGTGCTTCTTCAGGATGTCGGACCTCACACGCACGACAGCCTGACAGGAAATGAAAAAAGACTTCGGGGATTTGGGGGGTGCGCCACATGCCAAGCACAATCAAGCAAAATCATGCCAACACCATGCAAAATCAAGCAAAAAATCATGTCATGCCATGCAAAAATCGTGCAAAACGAGCTAGTCCTCCGGTCCGTATATAGATATACGGACTAGAGGAATAGCGTTTTTTCAGCGCAAAACCGTGCGAAACAAGCTCCCCGACCATCTGCACAGATCCGGAAAGTGCGCGCGGCCGAGCAAAAAAAACTGGCCCCGTAAAAAAAGAATGGCAAGTTGGGCGAGACAACGACAGCAGATCACGGAGGCCGCGGACGGCGGCGCCCGGGCTCGCACGGGGGCGGATGGAGCCGTCGTGCTGAACTTGCGGCGCGGACCGGGGGCCTACGCGCTGCTCTCGCGCGCGGACGGGCAGCTCCCGGGCGGGCCAGCACTACTACTCTCACCTGGGCCT